TGACATTTCAGAACAAACTATTATAAATCCAAGTGTGTGCATCACTTAAAAAACTTGACCTTGATCTTTTGTTTGTTGTTACAGAAGTTCATGTTTTATGTGCTGAAGTCTAGTGACGTGTTGGATGTTTTAGTCCCTATACTTTACTACCTGAACGATGCCAGGGCCGACCAATGTAAGTAAACATAGGTCAAAGTGTTCTACATTTAATCAAATAAGAAAAAGTCTTACTGATTCAGAAAAATCAGTTATTTTTTGCAATCATTGATATCATGAATTAAAAAAGATGACAGAGTATTTTAACTCTAACTGTCATTACATGAAGCATGTGATGTAGACACCTTGCATTAATCAGATCTTTATAAATATTAGGCTGTATACTTGTAAATAACAGGTACATGTAATACTCTATACAGGTAGAGGTGACCTGTAGTTATTTATCATTAACTGTGTCTTGTGTCACTATTTTCAGCTTTGTCTGGTAAGCTCTGGTGATCTCAATTACCGGTTTCACAACATATTGATTGAGTGCAGTGTTGTGTACTACTAATTAAAGTGGGGTGTGAAGTTTTCAGAAAAATCAACAAACATTTCTGCAGTTAGATTTAGAATGAACATTTTGAGGATTGACACTGCTTGTCAAATGGACAAAAATCAAATCAAATATTTGCAAGAAAAGATGATATAAGAATCCAGTTTGACAAAGTTTAAATGAAATATTCAGTAGAAAATGTGATACAAGATTGCTCTCCAGTATGACAATGCTGGTATTATTTTCCTCAGGGTGATAAGGATGCTTATTACAGTTAAACAACCCACTGGGCTGATATTAACTGGACAATGTCCTCCTGCTTTATTGTTTCTGTAGTTGAGTGGGTTTTTTTACGTCACACCTCTGCCCCTGTGAGGTAGCTCTACCCCTAACTGGTTATAATAACTGGGTATACACAGGGCTTAGGTGATACACATAAACTCCCAATCCTTTACCCACTTTGGTAGTTGTTTGCTACATGTATTACAAAGTTTCTAGGAACTATGGTTACATTATCACTGGACATAGCTTTACTGCATCATTCACTTTTGACAAATTACCTCGGGGCAGTACAAACATTCCTAGAATATAGTTATGTTTGGAGAGAAACATTGACATATTGTTAAGATTTCACCGTGTAATAAAATTAATACATATAACAAATTTCATCAAAAACCTTTAGCATACTGTTATATGTATAATGAATTAATTACTTGGCATAAAGCTCATCAAAGTTTTGAACCGCCAAATAATTTGAGAAATATTTGATAAATTACAGGAGAATGGTTGTAACCCAGACACATTTCAAGAGGAATGAATACCTAAGTTTATTTTGTTTCTGAATTATAGCCCGTGTTGGATTGATGCATATTGGTGTATTCATCCTGCTACTGTTGAGCGGGGAGAGGAACTTTGGGGTGCGACTAAACAAGCCCTACACCGTACGGGTACCGATGGACATCCCCGTGTTCACAGGAACGCATGCCGACTTTCTCATCATAGTAAGTATACCCTAAATACCTACTGTCTTTATGATATTCCGTAACCCACATATTACATAAGTCAGATCAGTTGATCTGATTATACAGCAGTGACTATTACACTATTTTCATCATTTTGCTTTTAAACAGGAATTTCAACAGTTACTGTATTTTCACAAAATAATTTCATATCCCCTCTCTCTATCCCAGCCCCTTCTTCGTCTTCCTTTCCCACTTGATTACAAAACTCAATATCAAAACAAATGAGTCATACAAATATTATTATAGAGCTATACTTTTTACTTAAATCGAACTAAACATACTTTTTTGTGTATATTACTTTGTACGTTGTTATCGTTGTTTTTATTACCTACTAAGTATTGTATTATTTTTGAGTCTTGTTAAGACTAAGATTGTATAATTCTATACTGGAAATATCATTAACTTCATAGACGACAAAGGAAGGAACTTCTTTTACTTCAAATTAATTTGCATCATTTTAATTTGATGTGATGATTACTAGTTTGAAATGAAAAACATGTACTTTTTTAAACAGAAAGTGTTTGTTACTGTATGGGGGACTATGCATTATTATTAAAACAGGAAGAGTTTTATCCCGATGGTGAACTATTCATAGCTAGCTTCATGTAATGTGTAGTTGAGACTAACAGTCCCATGTTGTTTGTAGTGTGTTATACATTACTGGCCCCTATAAGGTAACAGCTGTGAGTACAGACCACTTGTGTCATTAGGATATCTTACAGATTAAGGGTTTGATGTGGGCCTTAATTACTGTCAGATCTACATGATACATTGATAGTAGGGATCAATGTTAGACTTTTATATCAAATCTAAATACCGTACATCAGACATAATGTCACGCATACAGAGACTTACATATAAATACATCACTTATAACAGTACAGTGAGTTGATTTATTTATAAAAGCAATCATCATTGTATTTCAGGTTTTCCATAAAATCATCACCACTGGCCACCAGAGACTGCAGCCTCTGTTTGACTGTCTACTCACCATCATTGTAAATGGTATGTTTGTTTTTTGGAAACATTTGATATTCTATTTAATAAATTCGGAAGAAAAACATTATTATCTAATTACAGATGTATTGGTTTTATGTATTAAAGCAGATTATTGCTACTGAAGGTTTATTAAAAGATTTTTCATTTCAGTATCACCATATCTGAAGACTTTGTCAATGGTAGCCAGTACCAAGCTTCTGCACTTACTAGAGGTAAAGGTTAACATTGTATTTGTAATTAAGTAGAATTTGGTTCATTGTAGTATCTTTATATTTTGTAAAGCTCCTAAATTTATGATACTGAGACGTTATGTTATAAAACATTACTGGTAAAGTGCTTAATATGGTACAGTATGTGTACGTTTTTAAGTTAGACTCTCATTACTTACTGCTTGAACGTGTCTAACCTTGAAAAATGGTTAAATAAATGTACCACATATTTGTAAGAACTTTTGAGTATTGATATATTATGTGTTTACCTTGGCAGGCCTTTAGTACCCCCTGGTTCCTGTATGCTTGTCCCACCAACCACCATCTTGTTTTCTTCCTACTGGAGGTCTTCAATAATATCATACAGTACCAGTTTGATGGTGAGTTTTTTTTTCTGCGTGAGTATTTAAAATTTAAAATTGCCAAAATAAAACAAAAAGTATTTTTCCATTTGAGAATGAACTTCAATGATAAACAATGGATTGGATGCCATGTCAAGGAAAGAGAAAACAGACTAGCCTCCAAGCAAACTTTCATCAGTAAAAAAATCTTTTGATTATATTTTCAGGCAACAGTAATTTGGTCTACACCATTATCCGTAAGAGGAATGTGTTCCACCAGCTTGCCAATCTGCCCACAGAACACTCAGCCATAGCGAAGGCCCTCACAAAGAGGAGCAAGAAGTTCACCAACCTGACCCCCGACACCAAGGAAGAGCTACCACTGATGGAGGGCTCTATTCCTGCCACAGAGGCTGAGCCGGGTACCCTCAAAACCTCCCTTGCTGACACGCCTCGTACGTATCACTGGCTATGATTACCAGGCATCTTCATATCAAATATGTGCAGTCCTTACCACTCTCATAGGTGGACTTGCATCCATTTATCAATTTCTACCCAGAGTTGTCTTTCCTTACACTCACTTTCACCTGTCAACAGCAAAAAGCCAAGACTGTTGGGTTATAATTACTGTCGTATGGCTCTGTCAAAGTACAACACTGATAATGATTCATCTCTGAAAGCTCTCTACACTCTAGTTTTACTTTGTAGACATAGACAGACCGGTGATCTTGCCTTATGCAATCTTTATACATGGTTCACCTGTAGAT